TGGGCAAGAGACGACCCAGCATTCCTTGTTCTACTTAGTTTTTGGCTGTGTGGTGAGTAAGATTTAAGAGCTGTTATTTTTGTTACGCCATTGTTTGCATAGAAACAAGGCTTTTTATAATGATTGCCTTTTTAACCCTCATGATAGACRTTACAATAGTAACATTTGATAACCATTACTTTCTTTCTTGTATTTCAGTGTCTTCAGTTGGCTTTACCATCGTTTTACATCTTCATTTTCTAGGTTTTATTAAGTTTCTTTTATGGGTAGTATTTGTAGACTGTATTGGCTTTGGATTAGTTGTAGCCAGTTTGTTATGGTAAGTTTTACATGCATTACTATTGATGCAGCATCAAAAGCATAAAGAATCACGACCAACCACAATACAGCATGCGCTCATTGTTATTGTTTACATACATAAATGTGTCAAGCATACAATAGATTATAGATTTACCTGTGAGGTAATTACAGTGTAGTTAAAAGGTTTTTCTGTCCAAACTGAAAGGATGGAATATGATTCGCGCTCACTTTAAGAAATCCTATGAATACACCATTTTTGTACCGACGTAAAATGGTGCTTAAGCTTGCAAGTTACAGAGGTTGGTTGTGATTCTTTAAATAGTTTCTTTTATAATGTTATCAATTTTGTCATATACCTGTTCTGTATGAAAATTAATAAGTTGATAATGTGACACAATATAGCTTAACAATATGCCAGTACATTGTGTATTTGATAACAGGACATGTATATTTTCAGGTTTATCTGCAATCGATATTTGAGAGTATCATCATCATCATATGGTTCYCAGCCTAAAGTGGAATGGGCGTATGCATTTGATGTTCATCTGAATGCTTTCTTCCCTTTGCTGATCATCCTGCATGTGATCCAGCTGTTCTGTATGCAGAGTAAATATCATGTCTTTGATCTGCAGCCTTGTTTTATTTAGCCTGTCTGACAAGGATAGATTTTCTTGCTGATTTAGTAGTCTGAAACAATGCATGTGATTTATATTTTTGTAGTTATTTAAAGAATTTAGATAAAATAATCAATCTATCCTCCTCTAAAGGTATTTCACTTCCTTTCTGCTTTTCTTTCTACTCTTGGGCTTCCTGTCTTCTTGATTATGACGGCCAAGAAGATACCAGAGGGATCCCAAAGMGCAAAATAAAGTGCTGCCTTCAGAGGAGGATAGGGTTAATGGACAGAATGATATCCTCTTCTATCAAAGCCTTCACAATGATTATATTTTTGTCATGGTCTCTTGTTTATGACCTTGAAGTCTCAATATTCAATCAAATCAAAAAATGTATTGTTGATTGATTTAATAGAATTTATTGTGATTTACAATAATAACAATTTAGTAGTTAGAAATGTAATGAGTCAGGCTTGATAACAGAAGGCTGTTGATCTTAGAATGAGCATAGTGCAATAATTTAGTTRGTGTTGTTTCAATGGTTCAGTGAATCATTCTTGTACTGTTTTCTATTATCACATGAAAAAAGTAATGTTGATCTCGAAAAAAACGAAAAAAATTTGATAGACAGTTTTTCAGATGACATACATTTATATTTCAGTAAATGATTCTTTTAACAAAAAGAATGTTGGTTAATTTACCCTTAAAACYCTATGAARAACACCTAGACCATGGCAAAAATGCAAGCCAGTACACTTTAACTCAAGTTACKTGAATATGTACAGTAATTTGCCAAAGATTAATGCTATTATTTATTGTTTCAGTTTTAAATCAACCATGGTTTATATCCAGGCTCATTGGTAACTCGTTGTGGTTGATAGCTCTGGTTTATTATATCTATATTACATTCCTAGGATACAGTGGTAAGTAATTCCATTGCAAAATTGAAAATAGGATTTCCTCTGAAAAAAAAAGTTTAAACAACAATAAATTATTCAAATCAGATTCTGTACTAACTACATTTACAACAGAAGTGTTTATTTAATTGCATGTTGCTTTCCACTGAATTTATATTGATCATCCCAAAAAAAATCCAGTACTCCTTAACAAAAGGACTGAAGTAACATCGAAACAAATTTTACGCCTTGAGAACAAAAAATAACAAACTATATATAGAGCATCGAGCTACATGTAAGATCTGTAGCCTGATGATTGCACAAGTTGCATGAAACTTAATTAGCTCAAAGTCCTTGTGAACTTGTATATATTATATATACCTAGCCAAAAAAATTCTGCATCTTTCAATATATATATGTCTATTGTTTCCCTATTGTTTAATCTCTCAAGAACAAAAGACATATATATATTAAAAGTTGCAGAATTTTTTTGGTTAGGTGATTAATATTTTTCTCTAAAAAACTAAATCAGGTTGTATTTTTTAATTTGTACATATATATATATACTAATAGTGTTACCAGAAGTGATAGTTGCAAAACATGGTTTCAGACAATGATAAACATTCAMTTACATTACTGACATTTTCTTACTTTACTTGTCTTATGATAAGTTTTTGTTTTCGTTTTATTTCAGCGCTTCCTTTCTTAAAGAATACAGTGACTCTGCTATATCCRCCTGTGTTAGTAATTGTAGTATTATATATCATCTCTCTTACTGTTGGTTGGAATATTAGTCAGAGTTTTATGAACTTCTATAAGTTTAGAGTACTATAGAGTAAGTAACACAGCCAATGTGAGAAGAGCTTGTTGTAAGGACATTCATCAGAACGAGCAATTTGGGGATCATGTCAGTCAAGTGTCACTAGTATATTCTCTTAGAAGTAATGTATGGTGCATCAAGAACCAATGACAGCTGTTAATGGTCAGCAAGAAAGCTACAATAACTAAAAAGAAGTAAATGTATGATATTACAGGTAACAGATACCAATCAATAGTGGTGGGACATCAATGTTGAACATTATCATGGTTTGTGGAACCCGCTTTCCATGCTGTATTTAAATCACATGAAGTGATTGCAATCTGAATCCAATAGCTATAAGACATGCGATATCTACTACTTTCAACCCAACAGCCAAATGAAATTACAAGATTATTTTTCCCTATTGATAAAGTGTTTTATAAGAGTTCATACTAAGTATCTACCAGTTCATTTGGGCTGAAATAATGTGAATGTGTGAAACTAACAYATCAAATTTATATGGAGGAAAGATTGTGCATTTACAGACTAAATATTAATCAATATAACACAATAAATTACCAAGATGCCTCATATAGCAAGCTGCTATCAGTGGTGTATCTATAATAATTACTAAAATTCTGATTCATAACTCTGTCAAYGTCTTGTAAAGTGAGGAATAAAGTGGAATAAAATTGTTTAAAGRTAAAATCATTAGAGACTGATGCTGGATGATTAAAATAATAATTTTTGTGGGGATATWATTGTCTTCAAAGGCTTGCAACRTTGTAAACTAGCTTTGAAAAATATTGATTGATCAAGGGAAAAGTTATACTATTTTTAAAGAGATTTTTGTTTTCATGGCTAAAYATTTGTCAACCCCCCTTAACAAACTAAATGTGGTTAAAATTAAAATTATGATTTTATTGAAACGTTTTTGTACAAAAATATAATAATGTAAATATGAAATATACTAGCTTTACATGTAAGTTATTTGTTCAGTAAAAATACATCTACTSATGTAATCATTTACTAATACACCACATAACATTGAAACAACATTACTATTAATATATAATTAGGATTGTTTCATGGTGTCCTGGCACCAATGACCAGTTAATTATATTTCCTTGAGTGTCTGGACTATTTCTGGTAATGAGGCTAAAACCTTATTTGCTTGGGCATCTATGAGTTTTTTTACAGAAGTACAAATCTGGAAAAGATAGGTAACTGTATTAATAATTGCGTTGGTTGTCTTTAAACACTTAAAGGACTTACATGACTTTGAAGTTTGCTTTTAATGTCTTGTGTTATTGTGCTGGAGAATAAGTTGTATAACCAGCTGAAAAGAATTGATKATTTTAGACAAGGTTTTAGGTTCAACACTTTCTCTATGGAATATTCAAAATAGTAGAAGTACATCATTTCAAGGTTATCAGAGAGATTGAATGATGCCATACTGATCGAAACTTGTCCATTTATCCATCTGATTTTGATTGTTGTTGGTCGGTAAATGAATTGCCATTGATAAATCAATGTTGATTGTAACTTTGGGTTGTGGATTCTCCAATTTTTCTGATAACCTTTTTTAAAATAGCTATACACGCAATTGCAAGGATGTTGCAATAATTGTTTTACTTAGAAATATTTCTGAATGGTTATTTGTATTTGTTTATGATGGTGTTTGTTTGTTTAGGAGTAAAATATTGATAAGTATTTAAATACCTTGCTCCACCACTGAATTTTATTTTGAATTTTCCTATTTCAAGACTACAACCCTTCACCCTCATAGTAGGTGGGCTTGATATATTTTTACCTGACGAAGAGGAAAATTGTATTAGAACAGGCAACTAACAACTTTCGCAATTGGSTGGATAGTGTTGTTATTCTATATTAAAAAGGGTGGAAATGACTCCAAAAATTTTGTCACTATCAAGGTACCAGATTACCTCTACTAACATGGATTACCATGTCAATCCAAAAAKAAAAGATTTATTATTGACATACGTTATGAAGGTGTGCTGGGTGTTGGATACCAGATTTTTTTCCCACTAATTTCTCTGTATGCAGACATGTACATTATCTTTTTGGAGGTGGGCTCACATGACTAACATTTCAGTGCAAATAGCTCATTGAAGACGAGACGACATACATTCTCAGTTCAGTAGCGAATGTTATAATGGGGGAGGGCTGCCTCCCTAATCACCCCCCTTGGAATCGCCCTGATTCTGTTTACCTTTATCAATGTTAAATAACAAGCCTAGTGAAAGATCACCAAACGATAGCTTACAGGATCCAGCYTCTGATATATGTGGCCTATATAGGTGAAATTTATATTAATTTAACAACTAGGGTTCTATTTCAATAGGAGAATAAAAGGATTTTAGCCTGCGAAGGAGACTAGGTTGACTTACCAAGGTTTCTCTRTATATTTCCAATCAGCGCCTACTATAAATGAAGCATCGTTGGCATTCATACTGATCCCTTGATCTGAATCCACTGAGATATTAACATTCTTTATATCAACATCTGAAATCTTGATGCTTGAAAAACAAAGCAAACCAGTTAAAATCAAGAACAATTRGTTATATATTTTAACTTGTATAACTGTGTTTTCATCGAGGCTGATAATTCTATTGTTTATCTTTTCGTTATTACAAACACTTGAAGTGTTAAAAGTATGCAATAGAGTGTTTTAAAAGTGAAGTAAAGTGTAAAGACCTCTAAAAGATTCCAGAAGTCTTGAAAAAAGGGCATAACTGACTGATTTTCCCTGGGGGACTCCCCAACATCTATATTTGCTACTAGTATACGGGTATGGGCCGCTCGATAGGGTCCTTTTTCGGAGCTCCATGTCTGGATAGGGTATCCTTTTTTGCGTATTTGTCTGGGTTAGGGTCGTAGTTTTGTCTGGGATAGGGTAGTTTTTTGTCTGGAATAGGGTAGTTTTTTGTCTGGAATAGGGTAGTTTTTTGTCT